AAGCTTAAGTATATACTTAATAACTACCTTCTTTTTAAGCTTAGTTAGATTCCTTAATTTAGGCTAGCATTCTGCTTATAAAGGCTGTCTAGCGCGTTAATTACTTAGTGTTGTGTAAAAGACATTATAGATAGCTGCAGCGTGTTATAAAAAAAGTTTTAAGTTTTATTTAAAAGCCTAAAAAGTAAGCTATATCTAATGTTCTTTAGAAAATTTAATTTAGTGTTGTTGTTAAGGCATTATGTAGATAGGTAGAGTTTAGTAGGGGCTTAGCAAAAGTGGCCGGCTGACCCGTGTGGCCGGCCAACCCGTTAGGTACGTTACTTATTATATAGAAAATAAAATAAAAAAGAAGTTAATAGTTAAAGCTTTGCATTTACATAATGTGGGTATATCCTATGCCTAAAGCAGTCTAGATCTGCAACATCTAACGCCTAAACGCTCCTAGACGCTAAACTCACGCCTCCTTCGTAATTAGGAACTGTACAGCCGTACTACGGCTTTGATTTTAGTACGGTACGGTCGCAATTACTATGAGCGCTCACGACTATACGGACCGCCGAAAAATTGCGTTTGGACAATTCCGTACGAAGCGTAATACCGACTGTTGCACGCGCTGGTATGCGCAATCTCCCCGACTGGTCAAATTGGCCTTAACTTACTCGCGATTATTTTGCACATCCTAGCTATTGGCATTATCGTCTCCTGGCTCCTTTGCTGCTATGGCAGGCGCGATCACACCCGCAAATACCTCCGCCCTCGATCCCACGTAGACGGAGAACCCCCCGCCTCTCCTCCCTCGATTCCGTGCCGCTAATTGAAATCCAACCGCCAAAGACCTATTCCGGAGGGGCTAGGAAACGTTATGGGAGTAGGTACTAATTTCGACCTTGCTGCTAAGGATTCTTGGTTGGAGACCAGGAGAGGAGCGCGGCGAAAGGGTCGGTCTAGTTTGAGCATCTTGGCCGAATCCGATTAGATTATAATCGGCTAGAGTAAAGGTGAGTGCTTTTGGGACGCTAAATTCTTTTATATTAGCAAGTCTGAAGGTTTTCTGTAAGGATGTTCTTGGAAGGTAACTAATATACGTTCCAACGAGAGATAGTGGTAGATTAGTGCAGAGGTACAGCTGCTGCTGCTTCTATTTTTAGGGGGGAAGGGAAGGGAGTAAATAGAGATGAAAATTATAGACTGTCCTTTTACTGCAGATATACATCTTTGCGTGTGATTTGTATATAAAGCGCTAATGCATTTAACCCGACTAGCAAGGACTGAATCGTGCCTTACAACTGCTTGTTTTGCTAAACGCTAACCAAAAGGATCTTGAATAAGTTCTGAAAAGGAGACATAACTTTCACGCTACTAGTTTAGGATGCAAAAAATCCCCTTACTCCGTTGCTAGCCCACAATTCTCTAGCAACACTATGCAAATGACGGTACGAAGATAGTCCGCTTCTCCTCAAACCCTGCCTCCCAACAGCCTCCCTAACTCCTCCTTATACATCCTGACTCCATCCTCCACGCCGGTATCCCAGCCCTCAAAGTTCGTCTCACATAGCCTCAGTACCTCCACACCCGCCCTCAGGTCTCCCTTCGCTCGTCCCACAGCCTCCAGCCACAAATAACATTCCCGGTACACCTTCCTCGCAACCCTCTTCGGCACTTTCTGCTCCCTACTCTTATCGCGCCAACTGTACGACCAGAAATGGCCAATTGAGCAGTTGATATGCATTGTTTCAAGCTCAGTAGCTCCCTTCGCGGCGAGCATTGCCATGGCACTGAATCCCGTGCTTTTTCGCGAGCGCGTGGAAATCCAGAGTTGCACTTTGATATGGCGGAGGAGGCGGGCGGTCATGGAGGAAAGCTGGGATGCAAAGGCCATTAAAGCAGAGGTGTCAGTAAATACGAGGATTTGAGAGTACAGCATTGGTGCTGCCTCCGCGTAGATGGTTTTGCTGACTGCGAGGATCGACAGCGCAAGCCGCTTTGGTTTTAGGTCGACGAGTACATCATCTTCAGCATCTGAGTCCTCGGTTAGTCGAACAGGTCGCAACCGTCCACTGCTTGTGGTGCCTCTTTGCAGGAAATTAGAGTAGCTGGTCCATGCATGTTGCAGTAGTTTCTCGTCGTCTGAAGCCAGGATCTGCTCAACGGTTCGTTTATACGATTTCTGCTTTTCGTAGAACCAGATTGATGGTTTGGATTCCGTGTCTCCATCTCTGTGTTCCTCGGTTGTTCGCGTCATGTCCGGGAGACATTCCTCGTAGATCCGGTTGCGAAGTTCAGCAGGCAAAGACATAAAGGGGAAGATTTTGTGTTTTGGGAGGGGCTTAGAGGAGCAGGGTTGGTATGTTCGGACGCGCTGGGTTAATTTAAATAAAACATAAACCATGCAAAATCTGGAGAGAGTGGGTGGTGGAGACAGGTGTGGAAGGAGTAGTGGAAATGAACATGGAACGCACCTTTTTCATCACACCATATTCTTCGGCATCAGTCTCTGAATCGGTAGAATCATCCACATCCAAATCGCTATCGCTAACATCAGAGGCAACATAACGCACTTCGTTGCGCTTCCTCTTTGGGTATCGAGGATCATTAGTTTGCCGTAGTATCGGTGCTGTTGAAGGTGAATTGGCGCTGGTAGCCCCAACCGGCTTTAGCGCGAAGAGCGACATGTTGTATTTATAAGTGCTGTGGTAGATGAAGAGCTAAGAAGAAGCGCGCTATGAGAAAATACTGTTCCGCGACTTTAACGCGCTGTCATGTGCCTTAAATATGTGAAGTCGTGGTGGCAGAGTACGTTGCTGCCTGGGAAGGATTCTTAGCGGCCAGGCAGGATGCTGGGTAAAAGTGTGAGTACAAGATAGCATAAGGCAGCGCAAGGCAGCAATGCCTGCTTAGAGCGTATTTCTTACGCTCTAAGGTTTGAAAGGACATACCTTTAGCGAGGGCTGCTTTAATATAGAAACTTGCTATCTTCGAAGGTTATCCGACAAGGAGACCAGTCCCGATCAATCTCCGAGCTACCGACTCATCTCCGGTCACTTATCGTCAAGTCAAGGCCCAGTTGACTGACCGAACCTTCGACGGTTTCCCCGCTTTCCTTTTACGGATATATCTGAAAATAGTCTCACTTAGTTGAAGCCAGCGACACATGCGAAGTCCATCCCAGCTAGACAAGTCATCGTTATTTGACCTAGAGCATTTTCGCAATCCTCTCCCTTGGTTGCATCTTCAAGACAAAGCTTTACCCTAGAATTTAGAGGCCCAGCTAGCCCGTAGGTATCGACCGGAGAAGGGACGCAAACAGATTTAGACTTCGATTCTAAGCGCATTCGCGATTTGCTCGGCGGCGTCTAGCGATGGATAATCTAAGTATCAGCTGGTTGACTCTCTCTACAACCCTAGGACCTTGGTAGGCTGGGTTCTGACTATTTTCTCTGTTCTCCTCCCATAGATGCTAATTCGGCGGCTGCACAAACACCACCATATCACAAACAACCTTGTCGCAGTGCTCATGGTTCCACCCATCACTCCTGGACACTTTGCTTTTCTCTCACTCCACCTTCCCGCACCACCTTTAGAAGTCCTCTCCTCTTTAGAACTAGGCTTTCTTCGGCCTGCTACAAAAACTACAGCACCCTTCAACATCTGCGAACCCTTTTGTGAGACCCCTCTGCTGCTCTCTGTGATTGCTCCTTAGCGGCTACATCGCAAACGAACAATTTTGTTCTTCATTGCAGGCGTTTTTAGCTGGGCTACGGTGAACGTCATCTTCATTCAAGGCCACGGCATGGCGGCTCTTCAAAGCAGTCTAAGTCGTGCATTTCTATTCAATTCGACAGCGTTGGTGCTGGCGCTTACATCGCTCGTATTATTTGAACGGCAGGCGACCAGCACTAAGATTTGCAGAGCTTGTCTCGCTAGTGAGTTTCAAAGTTGTACAGTTCGGCGTCCTTAGATACTTGAGCCAGTCCATGCAGCATGCCTAATTTTAGGATCATCTTGCAGCCGGAATACGCCACAGCTTCTAACTTGTCGTTTCATCCCCTCTATATGGATAACCGCTCCTTTCATTCTTTCCTCTTCAACCTAAAGATGATCCCCACAAGCTCACCACCATTGATCCAGAGTGGCTGCAGAAGCCTCGATCGTAGGTCAACTCCCCAGACCACTTAGCGGTACACTAAATTGCTACGAATGCTAGCGCCAATTCTAGCTGCTAAATCCTCTAACGGTAGCTATGGTAGAATCTTGAGGTCATGGCAGCTACGTGACGATCGCAATCGCACTTGGCTTTTGCTTTCATCTCACGGCCTTCCAAGCCAGTGGGTAACCAATGCCGGGCCGGTAGTACTAACCATCATATCCCCGGTGCTAGCACAAATAGCCCCCAAAATCCAAACGGCGGAGAATAATCATAGATGCAATTGGCAGATTTAGATAGCCCTTGTCCACTCATTCGGAGAGGCAGCAAGTACAAGTGATGTCTCTGTTTTTGGCCCAGCGGCTTACTAAAACCAGACTACATCCAGGCCTTTAGAACTTTTTCGGGGCTAAGGTACATGGACGTGCAGGTATGTAGAGGTATTGCTAAGGTTTACATATCTTAATAGTTCAAAGCTGGAAGCCATGTATAACCTATGGCGATTGGAGGCTCAGCTCCAGCACGAGTCGGAAATAGACCCCAGAAGGCGCGGCATTATACCTGACAAACAACCAAGTTTGTGGCCAACGCGGGTCTTCACTAGGGGCGAAGAAATCAGACCTCTTGGCTTCAGGATATGTGGAGCCTTTTTCGGCTTCCGTACTACGGAAGGGCTTGCCCATCGTATGTATTCCATCTGAATAGGACCAAGCATTATTCTCATGTTCTTCGTGGGGCGGCTATACCTATGATAGGTCAGACTGCAACGGCTGTGAATTTCATTGTATTCTACAGCTCGGACGTCTTCAGAGATCTCAATGAGGTCTGGATTTCAAAAAGGCACCTTGGCTTGGTTGTGGTATGCGTCATTCTCCGCCGTTTCCGCATATCGACTGACTCTACCTACCTAGAACGTACCCACTGACTTTTCTTTCAGAGAGGCCTGTCAGCGTTGTTCCTCTTCCTCAACTTTATGTTCGTTCGCCCTACCGCCCTACCGATATTTGTTGAAATGGCCCACATATTTGATACATGTACATTTGTACAAATGGGGCATTTGCGGTTAATTAATAGAATAGCTTCCATAGTTACAGCGGCAGGAACTACTATAGTAATGGCGCCAAAACGATGACACAAAACCGCACCTAGTCACTCGGACCGAAGCAAAGGAGTAGCAAAGCGATAGGTAATTTAAACCACGAAGATCAGCGCAGTAAAAAGCTGAAAATTCGCCCCTCTCGCCACCGTCGTCGACCAGCGTCAAGTGCGATTGGAAACAATATTAAAGAATACTTTCAAACCCCCCCCCC